ACACACGTTATAATCACAGTTCGATTTAATATGGAATATGTTTTACATAGCTAACATATATATATATATATATATATAGCATTATTACATACGATCAATGACACTAAACTGATTTCAGGTCATGTGGTTTGGAAAGTTTAGAAAATGGGTAGAAAAAGGGAAAACATCTTTTGTGCGTGTGTGTGTGTGTCAAACTTTCACCGATTTATTATAATAACAACTGACGCCCCTTGATTATTTGATTATTCATTACTGTAATACAATACAATACATTAAAATGCTTGCAACATATCAGTTTATAGTTGTCGAGACGTGCATATAATATGCACGCTTCAGTCTTACCATGATGTTTAGAGGCTTGTATAAGTTAAGTAAGGTAGTGTGTGGTAAGGCGTCGGTGGCGCACACAGTGGTTAGGACGTTCGCCGACTATGCATATGGTCCGGGGTTCGATCCCACTGACGCACTCCTCATTTACCTCGCTAAGCCAGAAATAAGAAAGCTGGTAAAGAGGTAAAGGTTGGGCATTAGACGGCTAGCAACCTCATCCTGTAAAAACTAAACACCACTGCTACAGAAACTTCAAGCCACTACTAGCTTGAGGCCCTATGAACGTGAAGGAAAAATAATAATAATATAATAATAATAATAATAATAAGTGTGTAGCAGTATTAAGCACTGACGTGAATTAAAGAAGTTAGTCAGATTATGCGGTGGTGGTGGGGGGAATTGTGGAGATTTTCGATTAATTTCAATTGTTAGATGTTTGTCACAAAACCGACATCAATTAGAGAGAGGTCATTAAAAGACCACAGGGAGCACTGGACAGTTGTTTCATTCTATTTTCAGACTTCTAAACAACACTCACCTTGACCTCCTCCTACCAAGACTTGAACCTGGAACCTTCAGGTTATGAGGTCAAGCTCTCTGGCCATTCAACCACTTTGGTTGGGTTTCAGTGACCAGTGAATTTTAACTCTGTCATTGAGTGTCTTCAGTGGGCATCCACTTTACCTTGACATAGTGGGTCCCACCAGTAGCTTTAAGAAGGCCATCCAATGACTATCAGTTAGCTGAGTTGACAGTTTTAAAATCCAGGGGTCATGGAATTCTGATCCAAGTGACTGAATGGTCAACTATCTTGATCTCGTGATCTGAGGGTCTCGAGTTCGACCCCGGCGGAGTAGTGGTTGCGTACTGATGAAGAGTCCCAAAATAGAAGGAAACATTTGTCTTAATTTTGACTGTCCTCTCTAACTGATGTGTGGTTCCTAACGAAAATCTAACAAGTGAAATAAGTAATGGTGTGAATTATTTCCTTAATCTCTTTCAAGGCAAATTTTAATAAATGGTGTAATCGGCTCGGAATCCGATTAATGTAACAAGACATTAAAATGATTTGATGTGGTTTGTAACCAAATTGGGATCCATTTTCTGGTTTGTGGTGGATAGCATTACGATCCTGGATGAGCATTTCGTCCAACTTTGGACTCGTTAGGTGAATGTGCCTGCATTCCAAGTCAGTCGTGTTGTCTCCAACGGGATTCGAACCCACTACTCATCGTTTCAGAAACGAAAGTGTTATCCACTAAGCCACTGCGCAATAAGAGGCGCCTGCTGTGAAACAAGTATCTATCGGAGCTATTTTGAATTCCCCATTGATTGATTATATATTAGTCTACTGTGACATGTCAGCTCATTGTACGAGCGTTTCGATGATGTCTTGAAATGAGCATGATACTGCTTTGTTGATAAGGAGCTACCAGTGTAGTGTAACTGACGACTCCCAGGTTTTCCAGTGGTCTTCTAAACGATGTCAGTTCATGATGAAATCCTGAAACCAATCAAATCCCTGCAAACCAACAATTGAATATCAATTTGATGTTCACTAGTGACTGATCTTATTCAGACAGGTAATTACCTGGGTTCTAGTGGGAAGTCATGTCCAATACTTACAGCCGGTCGGGTGGGAAGACAAATACTCGCCGCCAATGACAGTCTCTAGTCCCAGTCGCGCCATATCATGAATTGGTAGAAGTTGGAATTCATGGAATGGCCATTGGATAGGGTCTCAGTAACTTAATAGTCTACGAGCTAGCTCGCCTTGTAATCAGAAGATAGTGTGTTCGAACCCTAGTCGCTGGTGCCTACTACTGAAGAGTCCCGAACTGGGAAGAGACAGCTGTCTAGTTTTCCAATGGTTCTATAACCTATGTCAGTTCACGATGAAATCCTGAAATATTGTGACTTCCTGTTTCTATCGATTTTCCTGTCTCTCTCTCTCTCTCTCTACTACTACCACTAAACAAATCATATATTGTGATGGGAATAATTTCGGTTTCCAAAGGGAGCTGTGTTGAAATTTCATCTCCATGATCTGTGTAAATTGTAAATCTGAAAATAATTCCCATATTACGGATCTGATATATGATTTTATCAGTTTGCCCAGTTAAACAGCCAGAAATCCGACTCAACGATCTGAATCGAATCGAGTACACTGTTAGTTAGTCCGGCCTCAAGTGAACGAGACGGGTAGCTGGCCGGTGGTGTTTAGATGGCTTCGATCGAGGCTGGCTAGAAAGCACTACTGGTTTGATGTGAGTGGTGTTCAACTACTCATTCTAATCAATCAGTAGTGCGCAGTTTTATATAAAGTATGTCAGATGAGATTTGTTTTATTCGACAATAAATAGCAGCTATAGAAAAGTTATCCTTATATTTCTATATTGTCCCACTTTGTCTTCTATCCTATAAAATAGTGTACAAAACATTTCTATTCTTACACATAATGGAATTAGTTGATTGTTAGATCTATTTGAAAGATTGAGTTAGCTTTAGGTAAACGAGTTGCACAAATACAATGTCGCTGAAAGGGAGGCAGGGAGTTGGTCGTCAGTGCAAGGGTGACTTGGAGGAGGTCATGTGAGGAGGAGATGAAAGCATGTGGGCAGATTTGGAGCGGAGTGAAAAAGTTGGCAGAAAACAGAAGGCAATGGAGGTGAGCAGCTGAAGCCCTATGTTCCTCTAGGAATTAAAGGATAAAATAATAATATAATAATAGTCTGAATCATCTCTAACATCGATAAGCTATCTAGTTATGTAGAAGAAGACCTGAACAATCTGAACAATCACATCTACTTCATTCTACTTCTATTCCTGCAAGATAAGGAAATTGGCGGCTAAATAAAAAGATAAAATGGATTTTAGAACTCCTAACTACATATGTCCTTTGTGTAGAATTGCGACAACGTGTAATAGAACATCAAAGTAAGCAGTACTTTGATTGCACACTGGCTCTTTGTTTGATGGCGACTAAATTCAGCCATTCAGGTTTGCAATGTAGTCAACACGATGCCATCTGAATTTTTGTCAGCAGGCCTTCGGTCTAGGTTTTATACTTATTGGTACTCGTCAGAATGGTGTATTCTTAATCGTGAAGGCACTCATACTCCCTCTCAGATTCGAACCCGTGTCAGCCAGTGCTGCAGTTGGCGACATTACCACTGAACTTCTGTAGGACTGTATTGGATAATTTGATTGAACACTAGGTAGTACGTAGCTAGGGTCATTCAGATTAAAATTCTGTCAGTCAGCAACCTAATAAAGACAATTCAGAGTGATTCCATATTAGTTTGTTTATTAAATGTATCACACAGTGAAACAGTATTGTATACTGGATGACGTTTCGAACACAATTTATTGTTCATAATCATATCAATTTTTAGATTTAGATTTTAAAATTTTAAAATTTAAAATTTAAAATCTAGTATCACAGGGTATAGGGAGAGATTGATAACAGAAGCTTTGTTTATCGAATCAACAGCAAATACATGTAATAGGAATGATTCAACACCTGTCCCAGATATATGGAAAATTCTACTGCCCATACAACAAATAGGAGAAGACAGAGAAAACTATAAAAATCAAATCTCGAAGTCGTGTGACAAAAATTGATATGATTATGAACAATAAATTGTGTTCGAAACTTCATCCAGTATACAATACTATTTCACTGTGTGATACATTTAATAAACAAACTAATATGGAATTACTTACTACCACAGTGCCCAAGTTTTACACATATATTAACAATTCAGAGTACACTGTGAGGGCAAGCCACCTAGTGGCATGGGGGATCACATTGTAAACTTGACTGATAGAATGCAGTCTGCAGTAACCAAAGGACTAGACATAATACACCAGTTACTAGCTAGTGTCCAATCAAAGCATCCAATACAGTCCTACAGGATGTTAATCGCTAGCCCGGATAGCTCAGTGGTAACGTCTCTGACTGTAGCATTGGGTGACACTGGTTCAAGTCTCAGAAAGGGGGAAATGAGTTCTTTCAGGATTAAGGATACACCATTCTGACAAGTGTCAACTAGCACAAAACCTAGGTGTAAAGCATCCTGATAACTGCCTCCAACCATCTATTAACGAAGTAAGCAATGCTGACATCAGATGTAGAGTGTTAATACATGCCATTTCAAGTACCTTATGTCTGTTTGCTTCCTTTTATTATGGTGTTAATTTACATGTTCGCATAAATTAGGTAACTTGAATTCAAGTTTTGAGTAATCCTACATTGTCTTATCTGCTTATGTTGAAATGTTTGATTTTATGAAGCTTATACTCATCCATTATGTATTAGATTATGATAGGTGCTAGTAAAATGAACGTGCTTAATGGAGGATGCCGGTGGGTGGGGGTTGAGGGTGTCATATACATTATTGTAATCTTCTCGTATTTCTTTTACATTGAATTATTCACTGTTACACAACTTATCATTGCCCCTCTGAATACGTTAGTCAATATACTACTTGTATTCGTTTATCAGTAGCCCACTCGCATACCACATGAGTATCAAGGAGTTTAATTTCATTAATTAATTTCATTAATTTCATTGTCTTGATTAAATGAAAATTTCATCGAAGAATTATATTTGTATTTTTCCTGAAAATTATCGCTTATTGTTTCTCTTTTTGCCTTTTTTTTCATAGGTATACCTCCTCCTCCGAGCAAATTAATGCCTTCAAGTACAGTTTTCGATTCTAAAGGACGTCCTCAACTGGATGTTATTGGACCGCATTTAATAGCAGAAGGTCGATTAACAGAAGAAGCAATTTTGCGGATTATCAGTGATACATCAGCTATACTAAAATCAGAAAAAACTATGCTTGATTTAGAAGCTCCAATAACAAGTTAGTTAATTAGTTTGTTAGTTATCTTGGGTTATTTGTCATTTGTGTACATATTTTGACTATTTTTGCTTAAGTTGTTGTTGTTGTTAATAATTACATGTCGATAGGAATTATTATTATTATTATATCCTTTAATTCCTAGAGGAACATAGGGCTTCAGCTGCTCACCTCCATTGCCTTCTGTTTTCTGCTAACTTTTTCACCCTGCTCCAAGTCTGCCCACATGCTTTCATCTCCTCTTCACATGATCTCCTCCAAGTCACCCTTGCACCGACGACCAACTTGCCGCTTCCCTTTCGGGTTCCACTCGAGTGATGGCTTGTCTAGTGATGTCACTTGATGGTTTCCTCAGAGTATGGCCAGCCAATCCATCTCCATTTCTTCCTGCCTATTTGTTTCGCAATCGGTTCCTGGTTGGTTCGCTCATGGCCAGAGATCCTGACTGTTGTTGATCTTTTCTGGCTGGCCATCTGATCTTGAGTATTGAGCGAAGACAACTGATAATGAAGGTCTGAAGTTTGTTTGAGATGCTGTTTATGACGCACTGGCCAAGTCTCTGATCCGTATAGTAGCACTGACTGACTTTACATTGGAGTTGAAAATCCGGATCTTATTTTATTTCACGCTGAGTGCTGTTGACCTGCACACAGACTTGAGAGAAATGGAAGCTTTCCTTGCTTTCCTGATCCTTGCTTTGATATCCTCGTCAGTTCCGTCGGCCTGTAGTTGAAACGAGGCTTCCCAGATAGGTAGGTGGGTGACGGAGGTTGTTTCTTTCAGGTTCCTCCCATTTATGATGGCTGATTGTTGTCTGTTGTTGCTGTTGGTGTTGGCCAGGAATCTTCATCACCTCTGTTTTATCCATGTTCACCTGAAGGAAGTCGTATCTTCGATGCTTCATCTATCGCCAACTTGTTGCTTTTCACTTGCATATCATCCAGTTTGTGGGAAATCAGACATATATGTCATCGGCGAAGTGCAGATCCTCCAAGTCTCTTTTTGTGTGAGTCCATTTTTATGCCTGTTTCCTCATTGCCCGTTGTCTGTCGCATTGTCCAGTCTACTGCAATCAGGAAAATCATTGGTGATAGTAGGCAGCCTTGTCTCACTCCCGTCCTCACTTCGAAGGCTTCCGTAAGTTTCCCGTTGTAAATTACTTGGCATGCAGTATTGTCGTATAACTGTTGGATGAGATGTATAATTGTCGATGGGACCCCGTAGTAGCGAAGTAGTTTCCAAATCACCTCTCGATCGACGCTGCGCTATCGAAGGCGTTTTCAAAGTCGATGAAGTTGAGTGATGTAGAGAGGTGACTGGCATTCCAAGCTTTGTTCAATGATGATCCGTAGAGTGGCGATTTGATCAATACATGACAGTGATTCGAAGTTAAGTAAGTTCATATTTTATCAAACGTAGAGTTGCTTCATAACTGAATCACTGATTACACCTTTCTTCTATTTTATTATTCCTTTGTGTTCATCCTGGAACACTAGGCTCCAATTTGGGGCATTAAAGACTCAATAACAGCTGTAATGTTGTCAGTATCCGTTCAAACGTCCTCTCCTTACAAGGCTTACTATTGGCATGGTGAGGGATAGAACCACGGACCTGTGTGAAGCGTGGTTGGAGAGTATTCTATGGTTGGATCACTGACGTGCACACACCTTATCATTTGTAAAGCGTTTTCCAGTCTCACTTTCACAATTCCGTCTGTTTTTTTTTAAACATCAAGTTTGATAGTGGAAATGTGTATTATTATCCCTTTGTAAATTTTTAAGTGGAGCGCAGGGCTTCAGCAGCAAGTCTTCGTTTCACTCGCTACTCAGTCATCACTTATCCAGGTGCCAAACTTATGGCTCCTCTTGTTGTGTTCCACTCGAGTGCCTGTCGTGTCTGTAGGTCGTCTTCTCCGTAGAAATGTGTATCAGGTTAAACTGCATTTTTTGTGTGGCAAATATGAGTTTGTTTTTTGAGGATCAGTAACTTGACTGTATGAAACATGACTCCAAAAGTGAGCGGTCGGTTTGGATCCTTCTCTACCTACTTAAATCTGGGAAACTGGTTAGTATCATTAATTCAAACACAATAGGTGTGGTTCATAATAAGGGGTATAGCAGAATTCTACCCAGGGTAGCTGAGTTTTACGTAAAACTATACGAACTATACGAAGCATTTTGTGCTGTTATTATTTAATGGTTATATATATATATATCATTCCTTTCTATGTATGAGGTGCTTTCTGTTGTAAATTTTAGTTACAGACAGTTTTGTATAACTGGTTGGAGGATTTCATCATCATGAGCTGACATCAGTTAGAGAATCATTGGAAAGCCAGTCCTGGAGTACTGGACGGTCAGCTGTTTCGTCAGCCTACTTTGGGAGTCTTCACAGTATGCACCCACTCCACTGCCAGGGTGGGGTATGGAATTTTCAGCATGTGATATCGGTAGCCCAAATTTTGCAGGCCGACCATAGATATCAGGCGTGCGTCGGTAGGGGAGCAAACCTCGGACCATGTGCACGGTCGTCAGGAGTCCCAACCGCTGTGTGACCGACGCACATGTGCTGCGTATGCACGACTAGGCATCGCCTTCCTCGGCAATGGGTAATGTTGGCTAACATAGGACGGATCAAGTTAGAAAAGAGTCAGTAGTGGTCATACCAGAATATGGCTTCATCAGTCAATGAAATGCACAACAGTTAGTTTAAGCCACGTATGAAGGTGTAGACTTCCTGGTTGTGGTCCTCAGGATGTTAAAAACCACTAACGACTTGAGACAATTAGTGATATGGCTCAAAATCTTTCTCAGTGGTGCAGACGCATCCCTTTCTTGTGACTTATACTTTCCAATGAAACTATATTGTTCTTCGTTATTGCTATTCATTTTGACTCATATCTTTGTTTACTGTCTCTATTATTCATTTCTTCTACTTTCTTCTCTTGCTTTGTGTGCTACATGGAGGGGGAGTGTGGCGACTTGAACTGGTGCACATGGGTGCACTGTTCTATGTTGAAAACAGACAGACAAGAAATCTATGGTTCAGTGGATAGAATGAATGCTTGTTAAGCACTCAAGTGGTCAGCCCCCTTGGATTCTTTAGTCAATGCAATTATAAACCTCACTTAGTTGGCTAACCTTGCGTCGGTGGTTCAACGATAAAGTGCTGACCGACCATGTACGTGCTTCAGGGTTCGATTCCCGGCTGACGTACACCTTTACTTCCCTTAGTCGGTTATAATCCCTACAAATAGAGGAGGTTGGACATGAGGCTAACATCCCCAATCCTTCAAAAAATAAAGCACGACTGCTACGGAAACTTCAGAGCTCTAGCTTGGAGTCCTATATTCCACTAGGAATGCAAAAGAATACAAAAAAAATTGTTCGCTAACCGTTAGTTAACCTGGAGGGTAGTAGCAGCCTCATCCATTAAGAAAACGACACTGTTGCACTGGTGGAACTGGTGGAACGCTTGAAGGCTCATATTTCATTTAGAAAGCAAAGGAATGAAAACGAGACATTTGAGATGTAGTATTCCTCTGATTAAATCAATTCAATTGAAGTTTGATTGGTTACAGGATTTCATCATGAGCTGACATCAGTTACATAACCACTGGAAAACCCAGGAATACTGGACAGTCAGCTGTTTCGTCAGCCTAGTTTGGGACTCTTCATCACTATGTACTCACTAATGTCAGTTCATGATGAAATCCTCCAACCACACAATCAAACAAACAGATCCCTACAAACCAACCAATATCTGAAGATTTATCTAATGTTCACAAGCCACTAGCCCTATTCAGGCAGTTACCTGGGGTTCTAGTAGGAAGTCGTGACCAGTGAGTGGGGTACAGAAGGTTGAAGGTGAGGATTGTTACTCATCAAAGACATTGGTTAGTACCAGTTGGGTTATGTCGTCAATTGACAGAAGTTAGAATTCATGCACTGGCTGGCCATTGGATCGGTTCCTACTGGTTAAATGGTCTACGAGCTAGCTAGCTAGCCTTGTAACCAGAAGAGCCTGGTTTCGAACCCTTGTGTGTGTGTTGGGGGGGGGGAAGGTTGCTTACCGATGAAGAGCCGCGTCGCAAACCAGGCTGACAAAACAATTGGCTGTCCAGTACTGCAGTACTGGTTCTCTGTCTGTCTGTTTTCGACATAGAACTTTGCACAAATATGCGGAACTTCAAGTCGCCACACTCCATCCATGTACCACACAAAGCAAGAGAAGAAAGTACAAGAAAAGCATAATAGAGACAGTAAGCAGAGGTGTGAGAAAAAGGAAGAGTAATAACGAAGAACAATATGGTTTCATTGGAAATCATAAATCACAAGGAGTGGATGCATCTGCGCCAGCCACTGAGAACGATGAGTTTGAGCCATATCACTAATTGTTTCCGACCATTGATTTTTACCGTCCGAGGACCCCAACCAGTCAGTCAGGAAGTCTACACCTTCCTACGTGACAGGCTTAAACTAACTGTTGTAGATTTCATTGACTGGTAAAGCCATGTTTTTGTTTGACCGCCGCTAGCTTTTTTCTAGCCTGATCCTATATCCGCTAACATTGGCCATTGTCGAGGAAGGCGATGACTAGTCAGGGCTGCGTAACACATGTCCTAGCCATCTCAGTCTTTGTAACTTCACGACTTCGTCGATTGATTTCTCCTGTTTAACTAGCACTCGACGCCTAACCTCAATATTGCTCACCTTATTATGCCACTTCACGCGGGAGATAGAACGCAGGCACCTTTTACTGGTTCTCTAAGTGATGTCAGCTCATAATTAAATTCTACAACCAACCAAACAAACAAACAGATCCCTACAAAACCAATACCTGAAAATCAATTGCAGGTTTTGTTATCATTGCATGGATCCAGCTACTGTACAACAAAAACAACAATAATAAAAAGAAGAAATTGCGTTTATCTTTTACTTATAACAAAGTTTAGTCAGTTTCGTTTGTGTTCGTCATTTGGATTATATTGTCGGCCTGTCTGT